ACAACAACATCAAGGCTAAATCTTCATCTTTGAAGGTTTCATCCATGCCCAATAAGTATGCCACGAGCTCATTGAACGCAGTAATGTGTTCATTCATATTGGTGCCTGGTTGATAATCAAATCTGAACAATCTTTTCTTCATGTGGAGACGATTCTGAGAGCTTTTCTTTAGGAATTTTTCCTCCAATGCTTTCCACATCTTACTTGCAGAAGTCTCGTTCTTGTAGCCATACTTCTGCTCCCTGGAAAGACAAGATCGAATCGTGCTGCACGCTAAATGATTGATTGTTCCCTATTTTTTCTCCTCCATATATTCGGGTTTTTCTTCCTCAATGGCGATGTCTAGACCTTGTTGGAATATAGCGTCTAACACCTCGCCTTGCCACATGTCAAAATGACCGGATCCATCGAACAACTCCACCGAGAAATTTGCATTTGACATCATCTTCCTCACCGGTCCAGATGAAGAGCTTGATGTCTCAACTGATCCGTATTTTGGTATTTTAATTCTAACGAACAATATTCAATAGCACAAACTGTATCTTTTCAACAACGAAACCACCAGGATAACCTCAACCGAAGCTCTGATGCCAATTGTTAGGGAAATCAGATTATTTCCCACACGAACGTAGTTTCAAAATTGACCTAAAATGTCAAGATCAAAACCACCAAAGGTTGCACAACGGATAAACCTGTTAAACTATTAAATATTGAAACACAATGGAAAAACCGAAAAAAACAATAAAGGAGATAATACACCAAATTTACGAGGTTCGACGAGAATATCGTCTACTCCTCGGATACCACACCGGATGATAACTTCACTATATCACAAATATTACAACAAATGGAATTATTTAGAATTCCCAAAGTGGGAGAATGAAAAATACAAGAGAAAGAGAGAACTTATTTTTGGGATTATTTCTAATGAAATACTTAGACCTATTTATAATTGAGTTTTAAGGATTAAGCTTATAAATAACCTAATATTTTAGGGATTAAACATGAAAAATAAGTTGGCCACCTACCAAAGAATTTTCCAATGTGTACAAGTTAGCCACCAAATATGAAATTTCCATATTTAAAGTTTGGCCACCAACCAAAATGAAATTTCCAACTTGCCAACTTAATTTCAAGCCAAATCTAACACACATCACTTGTTTTATAAGGCAAAGACATCTTATAAAAAAGCTTGGAGCACCATTCTACGGCCTTCGGGCTTTCCTGCTATCACATCCGGTTAAGGCTACCCACCATCGAGGTTGATCTATAACCCAGTTTTTTTTTTCTAAATTATTTTGAAATTATTCCTTAAGAGTAATCTCTGACAAATACGTGAGAGAAAAAAGCAACTAAAACAAAGCAGAATAACTTTAATAGACTTCATTCTGTATTGCGAATAGAAATAGCTAAATTATACAAGAGGATCCTGGAAAATTAATGAAGTACATATCTGAAATATGTGCCGCAAAAAGGAGAAAAAATGTTGCTAGAGCTGAACAACCAAGAAGTAATTGGAAACAAATTTCATATGCGCATCAACTCCAGGTGTATTTAGACTTCTAAACATCCTTCTACTTTCAAATGTTTGATGTGATAGTAAATCAGAGCTCTTCCAAGCTAAGAGTCCTGTCTGACTTAGAAAGATAAGATGATCCAGAAAGTTTGAACTATTTGGTATAGCATTTTGTTCCCAACTTTGGCTGTCAACACAAAGTTACCATATATCCAGTTACAATGGGATTATGATCCAACTTCAATATCAGATTCTAAAAGCATTTATTTTGTTTCAACTATCATCTCCGTGGTGATTGAAGTGGGTCAAAACTCAAAAGCCAAGTGATAAATGAACACGACATAAAATGCTACCTATCGCATGGCATGACGAACATATAATGCTCTAGCAAATAAGACAAACAATCATTTGATACAAAACCTCTAAAAATATAATTCAACCTTTTGAGATTGCTGTACGTATCCGCTTAAAATAATTCATGTGAAAACTGCATGTGGTCAGTCGCATTGCAGCATTTTAAATTAACTCGGTGCATAAAGTAGGGTTACATTACAAACGTTGCAGATTTTCTGGGTTCATTTTGGATAACTTTATATTTCACCTTTTCACTATGATATGGTGTTGAGCTTGTAAAGGGTAAACAATGCTACTGTTACCTTAAGTTTTGTCTCTAGCACACCTGCAGTAAAAAACCCTTAAAAACTCTGAATCGTTGTTGTTGTAGTAGTTGTGCATGTAATCCAAACATGATGTTGAGCATTTGTGCAAAGCATCAGGCATGAATGTTGTTCACCATGAATTCACAAGCAATGAGCCAGCATCCACTGCTCTTGCCGGCATTGCATTTCCTTTAGGTTGAAAACATAGGAAATTAAGAAGATATAAAGGTAATCTACCAATTACCATAACAAAAACACACCACTACTTTGATCTTTGTAACAGGCTTGACCTTCTCTTTGTCTGCAACAAAGCTTTTGAGGAGGCTATTCTCAGGCACACCACGACCTCTGCCTTTGTTGTTCCAAATATATGAAATAGATCATTTTAAATGAAGACGACGCGAATTTTAAAAATTGGAGGTAAATTATGAAGATATTATCTCATTATAAAATAACTGAAGAGGGTAATATAATATTTTAAATAATATGCTAAATAATAAGAGACTTTAATATTATATATATTAAATATAAAAATTTCAAGAAATCCCGTGAATTGGAAAACAAGGGGACATTGAATACAGAATGTAATATTATCAGAGAGAATAAAAGATTACCAAGGAATATGATTACTGAAATGTTGTATTTTGTATTTGGTTGGTTTAGCAACAATGTAAGATTATCGTGTTTGGTTAAATAAATAAAAGATTATTAGAATATATATTTGACCAAATTGTCCTTATTATATATTTATTTTTTAACAAGTTGAAAAATATTTATATTTTCTTTAAAAAATTTAAATTCATAAAATTTATATAATTATTTTTACAAAATTGAAAATATAAAAAAGATTAATGAAAGGGTAAATTTTATTTTTACCCCTAAATTTCATATAAAATTTTAATCATAGATTTTTTTTGTAAATCTAAAATAGTTTAAGAATAAATTTGTAATTTAAACTTCGTAAAATTTTTATTATTTAATGACAGAATAATGATATTTTTGAAGAATTTTTTTAAGGGCATATTAGTCCAAAATGTCAGTAATTTAACAATACCTAAAAAAAGGAGATAATGACATTTCAGGTAATATATTAAAAAAATATACTATTGGTAATAAAATATTAGTGGAAATAAGATTTCCGGCCAACCAAACATGGGAATGTAGATTTCATTCCTATGGGAATGTAGATTTCATTCTTATGAGAATGTGGATTTCATTCATATGTGAATGTGGATTTCATTCTTATGTGAATCTCACATTCCCCGAACCAAAGGTAATGACATTCTCGATAATATACTTAAAAAAATTTACTATTGATAATAAAACATTATCGAAAATGAGAATTTTGACCAACTAAATATGAAAATGTGGATTTCATTTATACGAGGATCCATGTTCCACGAGAAAACAGCCTCTTACTGTAATTTGTTTTGTCTGATCGCGGAGCCAGTACTGCAGAAGAAGCTTGTATAAATTTCCTTCACCACCGACTGAATCTAAAGTAACACCTATGAATCTTCATCGAAACATCTCGATCTAGCCAAATACAAACAGCTCATCGCCTCTTTTGATTCCTATCAGGTTCCGACCCTTCAATCAGTCTACGGAGCTCCAAATCAAAACGAAACCCAAATACATTTCAGCATCCTCTACTTCCATTGAAGCATATCCACAAGCAGTTGGTACCCATGGCGGAAGACGGAGCCGTGACACTCTACAACAAGACGGCCATCACCGATGCCAAGAAAAACCCATTCTCTATCAAAGTTGGTCTTGCCCAGATACTTCGTGGCGGCGCCATTGTAGAAGTCTCAACTCTCAACCAAGCCAAACTTGCCGAGGAAGCCGGCGCCTGTTGTTTAGTTATCACCGAACCCAACCAACAAGGCATTTCGCTCATGCTCAATCCTTCTATCATCAAACAAATAAAGCGTGCCGTTTCAATCCCCATCATGGCTCGTTCCCGCGTTGGCCACTTCGTCGAAGCCCAGATTCTCGAACGAGTAGGAGTGGATTATATTGACGAGAGCGAGGTTTTAGCTATAACCGATGAAGACAATTTCATTAACAAGCATAAACTTAGATGCCCTTTCATTTGCGGCTGCAGGAACCTCGGGGAAGCGTTAAGGAGAGTGAGGGAAGGAACTGCCATGATTAGAACGCAGGGGGCTTGTTAGGAATGGGGACATTGCTGAAACGGTTAAAAACGTCAGGTCCGTAAAGGGTGAAATCAGGGTTTTGAATAACATGGATGAAGATGAAGTTTTTGCGTTTTCGAAGAAAGTTACTGCCCCCTATGATTTGGTAGCTCAAACCAAGCAAATGGGAAGACTACCAGTGGTACATTTTGCTGCTGGTGAAATTGTGACCCCGGCAGATGCTGCATTGATGATGCAGTTGGGTTGTGATGGTGTCTTTGTGGGATCAGAGGTATTCGACAACTGCTCGGATCCGTTTAAGCGTGTTCGGGGTATTGTGAAAGCAGTTAGGCATTATAATGATCCTCATGTTGTGGTGCAGAACAGTTGTGGATTGGAGGAGGATATGGAAGGCCTTAATGTCAGTGAGGAAAGGATTGAACCCTTTGGAGAAGGAGTTTGATTAAATAATGAATCTTCTTTATTTCCGTTTAGATTCATTTGATTGTTTCTGTGTCCCTTGCGGCTGTTTATTTATATAATTTTTGCTAAGATTGTGACTTAGATATGCTATATTTTGCGTGTTGCTCTTTGAGGATATAATTGCATATATGCGATACATATGCAAAGTAGTTTTGTTCTGTGTCGGATTGTCCGACATGGATCAGGTTGTTTCAACTTGGTTGCTTGGTTTAAGAACGTTGCTCTTCTTATCGGGCTTCCAACTCCGTAATTGATACATTATTTGGAGAACCAATCTCCAAGACGCATTCCACTATCTCTGGCTCGTCCCTGTTCCAGTAAAAGCAGTATGCTGGTGGTTTGGGCGTAGGTAGTTGACTGCCTTCAGTGTATATCATGGTTAAGGCATCTACAATGGTTGGTCTATCAACTGGGTTGTCTTGTACGCATAGGAGACCCACATTTATGCACCTCACCACTTCATCCTTTGGATACGACTCCTCTAATGATGGGTCAATTAGCTCCAAAGCTCTGCCCTCATTCCATACCTCCCATGCCTGAAATAATCTCAGATTTCTTATTGGAAAAAAGAAAGAAAAAAAAACTCAAGTGTGATATACTGCACTTACATATGCTGCAAGGCTGAGAGGTCCACTGGCACGATGGAAACTATTATTCTTCCTACCAGTTACAATCTCCAGCAATAAAACCCCGAAGCTGAACATATCTGATCCTGTCGAATAAATGCCATTCATTGCATATTCTGGAGACATATAACCGCTGCATTTTAATAAAGAAATGTTATTTTAAATTTTCATTCGTCCCCAAAGTATATAAAAGATAGGTTTTGAGCATGCTTTTTAGTTGTAGATGCAGAATAAGTATATATGCCTACTATGTTCCAACTATCCTCCCGGTGTTTGCTTCAGAGTCGGGGTGGTTAAAAATTCTAGCCATGCCGAAATCTGATATTTTAGGATTCATGTCATCATCAAGTAAAATGTTGCTAGCCTTGAGGTCTCTGTGGATAACTTTCAATCTTGAATATTTGTGGAGATAAAGAAGCCCTTGACCAATACCCTCGATGATCTTATAACGTTTTTCCCAATTCAAGATTTTCTTTTGTTGGGGATCTGATTAAGATAAATTGTTAATTTGCAGAATATATAGATGAACGCAATCAACAAAAAGGAGCAAAATTTATGGACGTTGATAAAAGAAAGAGTATTGGCCGTTTATGATTCTAACCGAAGAGGAAAAAATCCAAGCTTTTATTCGGCATGTACTCATAGATCAGCATCTTCTCTTCTCTCTCAAGGCAGCAACCTTCAAGCCTAACAAGATTCGTATGCTGCAGCTTTGCAATCAAAACGGCTTCGTTTCTGAATTCTGTAAGTCCTTGCCCAGAATTGCTTGAAAGCCTTTTTACGGCTACTTCTTGACCACTGGGTAATTTCCCCTTAAAAAATAACAGGTTCCAGGTTAAGAGACAACTAGAAATTATTATTCTTGTGTACTCAACATAGCATACCTTATAAACGGATCCAAACCCGCCTTCTCCAAGTTTGTTCGTGGCTGCAAAGTTGTTGGTGGCATGGACCATTGTTTCAAGACTGAAAAATTGCAAGTCACGGTTTCTGTTGCCCTCTTTATTTCTGTCGTTGCCTCCTAGCTCATTTAACAGCATCTCTACTTCTGTTTCCTCCGCTGTATATTTATTTTTATTTAACTAACACATGCTCATAGAAATAATGAGTAATTCTGAAATTAGCCTTAGAAACCTTACCTTTGCAGCATCTAAGAAGTACTTCTGCGAAGAGAACAGAAATGATTGGGATAGAGACCCCGAATAGAATCACTACAACGATTGTGAATATTGGCGATCCTTCTACGATAACAAGAAAGTAAAATCCTCATGTTCCATAATCTATTACCGCTTTAAACTGCTTAGATGCTTGGTTTCTTTCTAAATTCTAACTTCCAGCAGTTCTTTAGTGCCGGAGATGCAAAATTATACCTTTTACGACACCTGAACTAGTGTGTACCAAAATGTTCGTGGCATGGTTGAAACAAGACGTGTATGTGTAGATTAATGTTCTACTTGAAAAAACACAGCGATAACAGCTGGTCCAAAAATGGTTTCAATTCACTCGTGATTTGTTTACTAGGTGTAAAAAATGTATAAACTGCAGTCATGAAATTGTTTTCCGGAGTGTAAAATGGGAGAAAATAGTTATCTGAGCATGAGCTTACCACTCTGATTGTCCACGAACACCAAGTAAAGCTGTCGCGTTTCTTTATAAAAATCGGGGTAGCTTTCGGAACTCGGTCCTCTGCTCCAGACGTCGCAACTGGCGGTTTGGTTATCATAAGCAAATGCGGCACAGGAACATTGACTATAGCAATTGGCTTTACAATCATAAAGACTGAGATTGGAATATTCTCCAAACTTTACTATGCCTTTAAAGGAGGCGTTGTGGAGCCTAGAAGGTTCGACAAAATGACTGCCGCAACTGGGCTCTGTTTGCCTTATGCATCCGACGGGAAGGTTCATATAGAGTCGGAATGAATCGCATCGCCCAAAAGGTGCTGCTCCTAACCTCTCCAGGATTTCACCTGAAGAAGTGATCGTATATCTTGACTCGGTGTGGTTTTTTTCCATGGAAAACGAGAAATACCTCTCATCCTCATTTTCAGTGTAGCTGAAGTCGTGGTCAGATTCATAGGACAACATTGTGGCGAAATCAAAATGTTTGCTGCGGTTCCGCCAATCCCCGCTAATCCAATAGAGTCTTCCCTGCCACGTCATGAATAATTGGGATGCACCGCTTGGGTCTCCGCCCAGGGTAAAAGACCCAGTTGCAGGAACGTCATCGCTGATCCACGATGTTAGTGACCATCTGTGCCCAGTTTTCAAGCTAATTCCAAGTTTCATGCCTGGAAGAAGCGTGTCTGTAGGATAATCAAAGCTTTGCCACAATATCCGATAAGTGGAACCATCCTTGAGAATAAAATTACCAGAATCGAGTAGCGTAGCACTTACATTACCAGCTGTTTGAGCAGAAGATAATACAAACGAACTGCCTGCGCCATGCAGGATTTCCAAACCGCCAACTTCATCTAAGATTAGGATCCCAGATTTATCAAATAATGGGCTGTTCCTATTGGCAACCCACACGGCCCTCCTATCTGCAGGTTCAGCCTGATTGTACCACATCCCTAAGTAGCGATTATTGGACTTCCCTGGACTAAAGAAACCCAGCCTGAACGTCCCGCGAGCGGACACCAGATACCCCAACTCTGAATCCTTCAGCTCTTGACCTGGTAATAACGTGTCTGTCTCTACTCCAGCTGAGCTAACACATATACTGCAACTGAACAGGCTGATGACCAAAATCAGTTGCGTTCCTCTGTTAGCCATTAATTGATTTATTAAGCTGGGGAATAGAATAATTTGCTTGTGCTGAATGCTAAAAACTGCTACTCTGCTGGATATTATGTTCCAATTTCCAATATTGTTTTAGGTTTCAACCTTAGTGTTGTTGGAGTCAAACCCGCGTAAAATAAAATCAAGATGCTCGATAGAATAGTCTGCGAAGTAATAACCATCAAGTAATCGGGAATTTCTTGTCCTTTCAGGTTCTTTTTCCCGGAAACTGCAAACACTTGTTTGACCATAGGTATTTTTGAATAGTATTTTAACACGTATTATTTTATATCCATTATTCTTATTTTGTATAAAGAGAAAATAACATCAGTGACCAAAAATCCCATATAATATACGATTTTAACCAACTTTTTCCGGATTTGCCAAAATGACCAACAAAATCGCAATGCGATCGCTAATTCGCAACGCGATCTCCATTATCGCAAATCAGTTTCCAGATTCGCAACGCGATTATGACTATCGCAATGCGATTTTCCAATTTCGCGTTGCGATTTTCTCAATTCGCAATGCGAATAAGTAAATCGCAATGCGAATTTGGAAAATCGCAATGCGATACTGACTATCACAATGCAATTTTCCTAATTCGCATTGCGATTTACGTATTCGCGTTGCGATTTTCATAATTCGCAATGCGAATTAGGAAAATCGCAACGCGAATACTTAAATCGCAATGCGAATCTTACTATCGCAATGCGATTTACATAGCGCCATTCGTATTAACGCGTATTTTTTTCCAAATTCCAAACACGAATTTTTTCTTAATAAATCGGAAACTGAACCGTCCACAGTAATCGCAACTCATAACCTCAAACCTAAAATCACAACACTCAGTCCCATCTCCATCTCTCACTCTCTACGGCGAAATCCGTCCCCATCTCCGAAGATTTCCGTCCCCATCGCCGGCGAAATCCCTCACAACCATTCACAGTAAAAAATCCCTCACAATCATTCAGAAATGGAAAATCAACCTCCGAGGGTTAGTTTTGTTTTATTTTTATTTTGAAATTTTTGCATTATTTTAGGTTTTTCATATTGAGATTGATGATAAGTTTACTGGTAATTTCAATAATATATTAACCATTTCACTTAGATTTCTTATTAAATTCATTCGATTGCTGCCAATACTGCTAAACTGTTTAGCCTGTGAAGTTAGTATTTGTCTTTGTTTTGTCTTTTGGTTGAAGTAATGCAGAAGAAGAATAGTTTCGAGAATGAAAATCGCAACGCGGAAATAACTATCGCAATGCGAAATAAAAATCGCAACGCGAAACCAAAATCGCATTGCGATTTTCATTTCGCGTTGCGATTCTCTCGTTGCGATTTTCATTTCGCGTTGCGATTTTCATTTTGCGTTGCGATTCTCTCGTTGCGATAGTCATTTCGCGTTGCGATTCTCTCGTTGCGATAGTCATTTCCGCGTTGCGATTCTCATTATCTCGTTGCGATTTTCATTTCAACCAAAAGATAAAACAGTGTTGCAAATTTTAGTTTCAAGAATAAACTACTATTTATGTTTATTGTTTTTGGTATATCTTGACAGTGTAGTTTTTGGTATATCTAACTTGGTATGTTTATTGTTTTTGTAGAAATTTTTTTCGGCTTCATTGACATTAAGGAATAAAGTTAGCCTAGCCACTACAATTGCTTCGAAGCTTTCACCTGTACAAAGAAAATTGTTTGAGGAAACCTGCTTCGGGCCATGGCTGAGAGTACAGCATCCGGGTGGAGATGCTAATTTGACCCATTTGTGGCTTCAGACCATGACTAACGATCTACCCGTCAGTATACAACGTGGTGAGGAAGAGATATGGTTTCATTTTCCACCGGCGTATACTTGTTTTGGGCGGAATGAGTTCTGCTTAATCACTGGTCTACGATTCGGACACGATGATGTAGGCCGGTACACTCGTCATATCACCCGCCCATCATGGTTATCCAGGGTTTTTCCTGATGAGTCAATAGAGAAGACGAACTTACACGTCGACGACATGAAGAAATTGTTTAATAAGAAAGATGATTTTACTCGGATGAATGACGTCGATGTTGTCCGAGTATGCCTTCTACTACTTTTGTATGCCGGCTTTTTAGGTAGAGAGGCCAGACAACCTATTCCTCAGGAGCTAATATTATTGGTAGAGGACCTAAATGCATGGAATCTGTTTCCGTGGGGTTCGTATATATGGAAAGCTACCTGGACTAAGTTGTCGTCTACTTTTGATGACCGCAAAAGTTTGCAGGGCGATGGGTCGAAATACACTTTGTCAGGCTTTGTTTGGGCCTTTAAGGTAAGAATTTCTATATAATGTTTTCAAAATTATAATTAATTATTTAACAATTACTAATGTTGTTATTATATTGTTTGTAGATTTGGATATTCGAGGTCTTTCCCGCCATGAAGACATATGCAATAAAAACTTCAAATGATATTCCCAGGGCTATTTCCTGGAATAGGAAACGTCTGTTGGATTGGGAAGACTTAATACCATATGCGACAATAAATAATGTAAGTTAACACAAATACTATCATATATAAACAAGTTATTAATAGTAGACGTTTAACTTTGTTTGAGTTTTATATTTTTAGGAGGCCAACATTCCATTAATGAGACTGACACCCACGGAGGCTGAGCTTGCCACTGATTGGTGGCAAGCTAGTCAGCGTTTTCTTGATGGCACGAATGATGAGCAGCCTCCACTTCCTCTACTTCGAGAGCCATCACCTGATCGACCCGACTATACACCTCTACAACGAGAGCCATCACCTATCCCGTCACATCATCGAGCCTCTTCTCCACCATCACCTCATGATAGGCGACCGGAAAAGATGCCACGACTTCTATCTCCTTGTTCTCCACCTCCACGGGATGAGTCAAGGGAGTTACGTGATGAGGTCAATGCCTTGCGTGAGGAGATCGGTACTCTACGCGATAACGATGGTGCATGGCGTGTGGAGGTGTCTACTTTACGTGGTGAGGTTGCCGCTCTACGTGAGATGGTAGTATCGTTGCAGAATGAGGTTCATACTCTACGCAACGAGGTAAGTTTAAGATTTTCCATATTTAACTTGATGATAAATTTACTCGTAATTTCACTTAAATTAACCATTTCACTTAGATTGCTTAGTAAATTTATTCGGTTGCTGCCAATACTGCTAAACTGTTTATTAACACTGTGAAGTTAATATTTTCCTTTTTGTTTTGTCTTTTGGTTGAAGTAAATTTATTCGGTTGCTGCCAATTCTGCTAAACTATGTATTCTTTAACACTGTGAAGTTAGTATTTGTCTTTGTTTTGTCTTTTGGTTGAAAGTTTGAAATATATTTGTCTTTGTTTTCACTGTTTAAATATCATGTCTGTTTATTTACTGATATTTGTATTTAATTATTTAGCGGACCGATAAGGTGGATGCTTTACGTCGGGTTTTTCTTGCACGACAGAGTTCACGCATCAGACGGCGTGCACGTGCTATTAAGTCTCCGTATACCCCAATAGTGCGAAGACACTGCAAGAAGAAGCCCGACTCGCCTGTCATCCCTCAAGAGTCCACTCCTATCGTTGAAGAGGCCCCTATCATTCCTCGAGAGTCCCCTCCCACCGTTCAAGAGGCCGCTGTCATCGTTGAATAGGTCCCTCCCACCATTCAAGAGCCCGATTCACATGGCGTCATATGCAGGATTCTTGAGAAACCCTCTGACGTGCCGGACATGATGGATTCAAGTTGGCTCTCGTATGAGTTACCGGCCAGGACCATACCGGTATCTAAAGTGGAGAGGAAACAACTACCGGACACAATTCTGGATAACACCCTTTGGTCTAAGACCGCAGTTGATTTTTATCTACATGAGCGAAGCCAGGGGTGTTTCACTGACATATGCAAGCTCAACGATGATATCTATTTGTTGCTTGATCGGTCTTGGTGGGGCGTATTATTAGGGGTCGAAGACAATGGCTATTTCGATGGAGGGGTAAGTCTTATATTTTTTTGTAAATTTATGTAAGTTACTAATATATGTCTTTTTTTGTAAAACAGCATATCGATGCGTGGGTGTCACGTCTTCTAATAATTAGGAAACTTACGGAAAATAAAAGAAATACACGATATACAATTATGCCGACGTCTTTTAACGCCGTTCACTTGAAGAATCAACGAGATGAATCATTTGCGTTGGGCAATGGACAAGCTAAACTTCATCCTGCATGGTGGGAAGTCGATAAGGTTAGTGTTTATTTTAGATTGAGTTTAAAGGTATTCATAAATAAGTGCGCAAATGAATGAATTATTACTTATGATTGCAGGTGTTTATCCCTGTTTTGGAACGTAACCATTGGCTTCTCGTCGAGCTTCAGATCCCATCCCTTAAGGCAATAGTATATGACAGCATGATAAATTACATATCATTGGCTGATTTAAGAGATATTATTAAGGGATGGAGCTCTTATTTGGCTAAATTATTGGATGCGATAAATTATTGGACTCGTTCTAGAAACAAGAAGCCAAAGAAGCTCAATATTACAGTTAGCAGAGACGAGACCGCACCACAACAAATGAAAGGACCCAGAGGGGATTGTGGTCCTCTCGTATACTTGGCGTTGGACCGTTTGATCACAGGAAGTATAAAGTATCTACCTCCCGCCTATATAGATAGAGCTGCAGTAGGCTTGTGGTTTCGACATTATATGGCTAGATCGATATATACGAGATGCTGCCTACCTGCATTCGCGTTATAAAAATGTCCATAAACAATTGGTATGTTTATAGGCTTGTGGTTTGAAAATGTTTGGTTAAGTACCTAGAATTCAATAATTTGTTGTTTATAGGTTTTAGATGTGTAGAAAGTGTTGTTTGAGCAAATGTTTGGTTTATGCAGGTTAATCTCAGAAGTGAGCTGCGTGAAAATGATGTATGGCTGCAAAAGTTGATTCAATAGTATAAGTGTTATTTTCTCTAAGAATTATTGCTTATTTTTTGATTGTTTAATTGATTTGTAAAAGGTGATTTGTAAAAGTTGATTTGTTTAATTGA